CACCTGTTTGAATTTCCGTGAGCCTGCCACGTGTGGTAATCCTCCATAAAGTCTATGTGGTCCAATGTTAGGTTGTAGAAATCAGTGAAAGGGATGATGGAGGAAGAGGAAATGCTATTTGCAGCATCTGTTAAAACAAGATCAACGTTAGGATTATTTTGGTTCAAAATCAGTTGTAAAGAACTACGAGAAAGCATCTTGACTTTCTCCAGGTCCTCTCTAGTGGCCAGCACAGTAGTACTCACTAAGGAGGGAAAGGACTTTAGTGGCTGAGGGAATCCACCACGAGCATTTGGCCATGGGCGGCAACTCTTCTGGCTTGGCAGGAAATAGGCGGGTAGTGATGAAGAGCTGCAAGCGCTCCACCAGCTGTTTGAAACGCTTCTGAGGCAGCCTGAAAGATGAAACATATCGTAAACAGGAAGATATAATCCATAAACACTTCTTTTTTTACTGTCAATTTGTGTAATGCCTTGACACTGGCTAGCTCTGCTATTTGTTGGATTTACACATTTCACAATTAAAACCACAACTACTTAGAATGCAAAAAAGCCAAAAAGCTCATTTATTTAAAAGAATTAGACTTTTCCATTGTGAATTGCTCTCTTATACAGACTCACTTTTTAAACCAGTGCATCAGGAAATGGTGGTCCGCTTCAGCCAGGGCTGCTATTTGCCTCAGTAAGTGTGCATAGATGACATATGTGGCTGGGCTGGTGTACTGAGGGTTCTGCGACACAGAGAGGCATTTCAGCAAACTTTCATTTAGGAGCAGAGAAAGAAGTCTGGCTTTTAATAAGTGGCGCTGCAGCGGAAACCAGCTCTTTTCCTCTCCAGTATGACCTCATCCCTTCCTTAGGCATGGCAAATGCAAATAATACAGAGGCTGCCTGACATTAGTGGCAGACAGATCAGCCCAATAATTGCCTATGCTTTTCATTTTCATCATGTCCTCCAGAGAAATGTAGGTCAGAGAGCCCATCAACAGTCTGGAGATGAATACCGCTATATGCGAACTCTGGAGAAGACCGACATCTGTACATGCTTCTGTTTATGAAAGCGTCTAACTCTCACCAACCAAATGGAGAGAAAAAAAAATGTTTCATAAAGCTGAAAACCCAAAACGAATCAAATCCTAGCTAACCAAGCCATCGCCTCTCTCTCTGCCTACGGCTTCCCAGGCTTAAATCCAGTGGCTATGTCCTTATTTGGACAGTCCCAGGCCAGCCTGCGCTGGTCATGTGTGAAGTAAACACTTAGCTCACGATCTGTCTGCACCACAGCAGGGCTATGGCTGGAGTCAATGGGCCATGTGGTGAGAGAGGAGATCAAGAGTTTCCTGAAACTCTGATTCGCCTCTTACTTAGCCTGGGGTGTTTAACGTGGCTGCCAACACAAAGGGCAAATCAAAGACAGATTAGAGCAATTTTGCTGTGTAAGTGCACATCTATATGATTGCACGCAGATAACTGCTTTGGTTTGCAAAGGGAAATTACAGGTATTGCAAAAAAGTATCACATGTCTTTGGGTTCTGTTTAATGAAGGCAATTTTGTATTAATGGCATGGGCTTGGTCACTAGTAAGAGGAGATCAGCAGTGTTGGGGTAACAAACTGAAAGATGCTAGATTTTTTAGTAGTGTGACAGTAACTGTTCTCACAACTAATTTTTCCAATGCGCACCAAAACTTTACACCATTATATTTGTTAATCACATTTTATTGTGTAAGAAGCTTTACAGCCATCAAACGGAGATAAAACACGCTCTCCTAAACCTTCTTCTCTCACTGTCGTACTGTGCACCGTAATGGTTCTTTTTGTGAATCAATTTGTTCATCCGTTTCAAGTCATTAACCGATTCATAGATCGGATACAATTGACAGATTAAATAATCACTGATTAGTGCAGCTTCTGTTGTTGCACATTATTTAGTTACATGCTGATTTCACAATGTTTTCAAACTGATAGCAATAAAATGTATTAGTTTAATTTTTAATATATAAATTAATGCATCTTATGTTAATTCTAAGACCCTAACTGAGATCCAAATTTTAGAGCCTGTTTTTCTGACAAATAAATACAGCTCTGGTTATACAATAAACAATATTGCTCAATATAGTTAGCTATTTTAGATAACCTACTGCAGATCAGCCCATTAAGCCAGGATGTAATAGTGAAAGAAAACATAACTTTCTTAAGAGATATACAAAACTAATAATTTCTTTATAAACAAAAAGAAAACACACAAGTGTGCAAAAAGAATGCCATTACCTGCACAAGAACAAAATATGCTCTAAGGTCATCCTTTGTGCGAGGCCTAAAAATACAAAAACAAAACTGACAGTGATTCTTTTTTAATCACTATTTTCTGCAAAGAGAACACAATGCACTACTCACCCTTTCCATTCTCTTAATAAGCTATTAATAATTCCCTTCAGGACTGATTTCTGTGTGTCTGCAGGCTGCAAATTAGCCAGATAAAACCAATTTTGTTAAAACCAAATTCAAAACAACAGACAGAGCACAATGGCTTACTGTGTAATTCAATTATAAGAAAACTTCAGTCAGTTCTTACGATGAAAAGTTTCTTACTTACCGTGTGGAGTAAGGCATCATAAACAATATTGACAAATTTGATGTTTATTCCTGAGTCTTCAATAGTGTTAAAGGGAGCATTTGCTTCTTTCTGAAAAGAAAATTTAAACATAAAAACATTAATCATACTTTCTACCATCCACTTACATGGTGCATATTATATATACTTCACATATAAAATGGATGGTAAAACATTCACCTCATATAAGAATAATATTTTCTGATGAAACCATATGCAGATGTTGTTTTTTACTCCCTGAATGAGCTCATTGATTCATTTGGAGACCAAAATGTTCAGTTTTCCTCCTCTCCTGACTTTCACGGTTACTTTTTCCACCGACTTCCAAGAGTTCTCATTAAAAACTTTGGCTAAACTTAAAAGGATGTTTCATTCATAAAATTGACCATTATTCAATAGCCTAAATAAAAACACATTTAGACAAGTCAATTATATGCCATTAATAATTGAGCAACTAGTAAAATATTTGTTTTTAAATAATTATATTTTAAATGATTGTTGTTATATTTTACACACACTAAATGAACTGATAATTCACAGTAAAACCTGTGGTTAATTTGGGCCTTTTTGGCAAAGTAAGCTTATGCTCAAAAGAGATTTCAAGCAATATGAAAATAATCAACAGCAATCTAGTAAACACTTTTAAAACATGAACAAGACACTGTGTTTAGAGCTTTAACACACCTTAAATGCACCATTGAGTTCCAAAAAGGAATCAAATGTGGTCAAGTAGAAATCATGGACTTGCTTCCAATCCCCTGAGATAGTTGCCCTTTCAACATCGTCCCTACAGCCGGAAAAAAATACACAATTATAAAACACTGTAACTGACCTTGGTAATTCTGCAGGTTGACTAAAGGAAGAAGCACGTACTGAAACTCTTTGGCGGTTTTGGTCCGAATGGGAATAATGGGTTCTGAGACAAAACGAGCCTTCACCTCTGGAGGGAGAACATCAATAGAGATACGATGCTTCTGTCTCACATCTGGACATATTGGGGGAAGCTCTCTCACTGAAAACAAATGCACACAGAATGCATTAGACAGCAGCTCACAATATGAGCAAGGTGGGCCGTTCATCATGCTCTCCAGGGGGATTTTTTGCAATCACTCTACAGCTAACAATTATTTGTCATTATCTTATCAGAAACAACTATCTGCACAATGACTCTCAGCATCCCAGCAACCACCTGATAACATGCAATCACCATCAGCACAGTGAGTTATTATATTTAAAGGCACTCTAGTCCTTTAATTCTCAACAAATGCACTGATTAAAGCTGAGTTAAGATTCACAAAAAGATTTGTACTTGTGGACTACAGTAGGAACAACTGACATTTTCAAGGTTCGCCCAGTGAATTTATAAGGTAAAGTGAGAACATTTAACGAGCTTTAGCACTGCGTCAGGCCTCAGTCCATGTAGTCTTCCTAACAAGTCCCCAGCTCATCTGTGCTAAAGACAGTAATGAACACACTTGTGCCTTGTCACAAACTTGAAGATGAATGCATCACATCGACAACATCTTTGATCTCCAAGACAAAGAAAGGAAAACATCTGCATGAAACAGTGAAGTGGTTATCAATTCAAAGCAGCCAAAATGGACTGCTTTGAAATGCAATTAGTTTTTTTGTTGCAAAAGGGAATTACCTTTAAATCACTCATGCATATCATTTTAAAACCATAGTAACCCTTGCTCGAGTTACCTGCTTGTAGACCTAAAGCACTGACTATGGATGGATAAAATTTGTTTAATAATATCAACAAAATCAAGTTATGCAACAAGAAACAGCTAAAACTGGCAGCGCTGGAAGCAGTCTGACCTTGTTTGACTGCAGGTAGCAGGAGCGGAGAAGAAAGACTGTGGCTGCCTGACTCTCTTTTGTGATTCAGGGTGGAGATGAAGCTTCCATAAGAGGGGAAAGGGAGCTTCGGCCCACGATCCAAGCTCTGCCGATGAAATGATCCTCGTTATATTCCAATATTTCTAAAAAAATGATTGTGCTGCGGCACACCTGTACTCTGCTGATAAAACAAATGGCAATAGAGAACAGATACTGCAATAAACTATATTTACTATACTACACTAGACTGACAGATTAACATCTAATTAAGCAAAAATCAGAAAAACAAATAGCCTACTAAAAAAATATATGCCCCTCCCCGTTATTCAAATATCTGAATAAAAATAAGTATCAGTAAAGAATGCAATACATATTACAGCACATTTAAACAATAGTGGAGGAAATCAAAACCTTGTTAATTGAGATTGTGTCACTCATTGCGTAACCAGCAGCAGCAGCGTTGTTTTGCGGAAACGAAACATTAAAGGCTGATGTTTTCTGTGTGCTTTCAACACCAGGAAAATACAAAATCACTAAAAGAAAATGCGCTGTGCGTGCAGAAGGCTGAGCTAAATATTCCATGAATCACATATGCCGCTTTTACGGTGACTTTTACGGAGTTATTTAACACTACGTCGTTGTCTCAGCTGTAGGCTGATTTCGTAAAGAATCCAATATAAAATATTTCCATTAGGATAACCACACCAATTCAAATGCAAACGTGCATTAAAAATAAAGCAAAATTCAGATGAATACAGTGCATAAAAGTGCAAAAAAAATATGCATTCACGTACTATTCAACCATAGTCAGCAATATTTGTACAGCAATATTTGAAAAATACTTACATGATTTAGTATAGGAGGAAGTCTGTCTCTATCCCTTTCTTCAAATGGACAGTTATTTTCGCTCATGTTTAGATGCATGTCCTCTGAAGAAAAGCCTTTCGAGCGCAGTTACATGGCTTATTTTTCTGGGGAAAAAAAAGTACTTTTTCCCCTCTGCGTAATTTCAGTGCTCGCACTTTCCTTTTAAATTGAGAAATACAGCAACAGTGAGTGAGTCCAGTACGGTCTGTTCTTTTTGCTAAAGCAGGTGAGTCGTTGAGACTAAGATGAACAAAAAGGCTGATCTTTGCTTGTCAAAGAGAACAAACGAAGTGGGTAAGAAGAAAAGTAAAAAAAAAAGATACAAAAATCTTCGCGACGCTGCGGTTAGTGAGTAAAGTAACTTGTTGAAGAAGTGCCGCGGCGTCTATGTGCGGTCCAGCTGTACGCTGGCGCCATGTTGTTGAGGATGATGATGATGATGATGCTGATGATGAGGTTTGTAGTTACGGACTTGGATACGGCCGCTGCCTCGACGTAACACTGGGGCCGTGCTATGCTGAGTCAGATTTATTGCACACCTCTAATTAAGATATTTCCTAGAACTTAAAATACACCCAGCTAAACTCTATTTGTATGTAACATCAACATCACATTTTGATTGGACTAGTATGAAAGAAAAAAAAACTTAAAAGTTGAAAGAAATATAGCCTAAAGAAAGCCCTACGCATGTCCACTAAGTCACAGACATTTTTTTCCCCACTATATATGTTTATTTATGATTCTTTTAATATCCGTAAGACCACGCATGTCACTGTGTTATGTGAATGTTAGAATCTCAGCTTTTCTCGTACATACCTTATAGGCTTATATTTACAGCCAGTCTATGTCAACTGTACGCTTCAGTCTCAAGGGGGTCAGGTTCTCTTACATCAGCTTTCTCAATTGTGACCTTGATGAGAGGTGTCAGAGCAAACATATCATATAGCCTATTCTGCACTTACCGTGTGGAGTAAGGCATCATAAACAATATTGACAAATTTGATGTTTATTCCTGAGTCTTCAATAGTGTTAAAGGGAGCATTTGCTTCTTTCTGAAAAGAAAATTTAAACATAAAAACATTAATCATACTTTCTACCATCCACTTACATGGTGCATATTATATATACTTCACATATAAAATGGATGGTAAAACATTCAACTCATATAAGAATAAGATTTTCTGATGAAACTATATGCAGATGTTTTTTTTTACTCCCTGAATGAGTTCATTGATTCATTTTGAGACCAAAATGTTTAGTTTTCCCCCTTTCCTGACTTTCACGGTTACTTTTTCCACTGACTTCCAAGAGTTCTCATTAAAAACTTTGGCTAAACTTAAAAGGATGTTTCATTCATAAAATTGACCATTATTCAATAGCCTAAATAAAAACACATTTAGACAAGTCAATTATATGCCATTAATAATTGAGCAACTAGTAAAATATTTGTTTTTAAATAATTATATTTTAAATGATTGTTGTTATATTTTACACACACTAAATGAACTGATAATTCACAGTAAAACCTGTGGTTAATTTGGGCCTTTTTGGCAAAGTAAGCTTATGCTCAAAAGAGATTTCAAGCAATATGAAAATAATCAACAGCAATCTAGTAAACACTTTTAAAACATGAACAAGACACTGTGTTTAGAGCTTTAACACACCTTAAATGCACCATTGAGTTCCAAAAAGGAGTCAAATGTGGTCAAGTAGAAATCATGGACTTGCTTCCAATCCCCTGAGATAGTTGCCCTTTCAACATCGTCCCTACAGCCGGAAAAAAATACACAATTATAAAACACTGTAACTGACCTTGGTAATTCTGCAGGTTGACTAAAGGAAGAAGCACGTACTGAAACTCTTTGGCGGTTTTGGTCCGAATGGGAATAATGGGTTCTGAGACAAAACGAGCCTTCACCTCTGGAGGGAGAACATCAATAGAGATACGATGCTTCTGTCTCACATCTGGACATATTGGGGGAAGCTCTCTCACTGAAAACAAATGCACACAGAATGCATTAGACAGCAGCTCACAATATGAGCAAGGTGGGCCGTTCATCATGCTCTCCAGGGGGATTTTTTGCAATCACTCTACAGCTAACAATTATTTGTCATTATCTTATCAGAAACAACTATCTGCACAATGACTCTCAGCATCCCAGCAACCACCTGATAACATGCAATCACCATCAGCACAGTGAGTTATTATATTTAAAGGCACTCTAGTCCTTTAATTCTCAACAAATGCACTGATTAAAGCTGAGTTAAGATTCACAAAAAGATTTGTACTTGTGGACTACAGTAGGAACAACTGACATTTTCAAGGTTCGCCCAGTGAATTTATAAGGTAAAGTGAGAACATTTAACGAGCTTTAGCACTGCGTCAGGCCTCAGTCCATGTAGTCTTCCTAACAAGTCCCCAGCTCATCTGTGCTAAAGACAGGCATGAACACACTTGTGCCTTGTCACAAACTTGAAGATGAATGCATCACATCGACAACATCTTTGATCTCCAAGACAAAGAAAGGAAAACATCTGCATGAAACAGTGAAGTGGTTATCAATTCAAAGCAGCCAAAATGGACTGCTTTGAAATGCAATTAGTTTTTTTGTTGCAAAAGGGAATTACCTTTAAATCACTCATGCATATCATTTTAAAACCATAGTAACCCTTGCTCGAGTTACCTGCTTGTAGACCTAAAGCACTGACTATGGATGGATAAAATTTGTTTAATAATATCAACAAAATCAAGTTATGCAACAAGAAACAGCTAAAACTGGCAGCGCTGGAAGCAGTCTGACCTTGTTTGACTGCAGGTAGCAGGAGCGGAGAAGAAAGACTGTGGCTGCCTGACTCTCTTTTGTGATTCAGGGTGGAGATGAAGCTTCCATAAGAGGGGAAAGGGAGCTTCGGCCCACGATCCAAGCTCTGCCGATGAAATGATCCTCGTTATATTCCAATATTTCTAAAAAAATGATTGTGCTGCGGCACACCTGTACTCTGCTGATAAAACAAATGGCAATAGAGAACAGATACTGCAATAAACTATATTTACTATACTACACTAGACTGACAGATTAACATCTAATTAAGCAAAAATCAGAAAAACAAATAGCCTACTAAAAAAATATATGCCCCTCCCCGTTATTCAAATATCTGAATAAAAATAAGTATCAGTAAAGAATGCAATACATATTACAGCACATTTAAACAATAGTGGAGGAAATCAAAACCTTGTTAATTGAGATTGTGTCACTCATTGCGTAACCAGCAGCAGCAGCGTTGTTTTGCGGAAACGAAACATTAAAGGCTGATGTTTTCTGTGTGCTTTCAACACCAGGAAAATACAAAATCACTAAAAGAAAATGCGCTGTGCGTGCAGAAGGCTGAGCTAAATATTCCATGAATCACATATGCCGCTTTTACGGTGACTTTTACGGAGTTATTTAACACTACGTCGTTGTCTCAGCTGTAGGCTGATTTCGTAAAGAATCCAATATAAATTATTTCCATTAGGGTAACCACACCAATTCAAATGCAAACGTGCATTAAAAATAAAGCAAAATTCAGATGAATACAGTGCATAAAAGTGCAAAAAAAATATGCATTCACGTACTATTCAACCATAGTCAGCAATATTTGTACAGCAATATTTGAAAAATACTTACATGATTTAGTATAGGAGGAAGTCTGTCTCTATCCCTTTCTTCAAATGGACAGTTATTTTCGCTCATGTTTAGATGCATGTCCTCTGAAGAAAAGCCTTTCGAGCGCAGTTACATGGCTTATTTTTCTGGGGAAAAAAAAGTACTTTTTCCCCTCTGCGTAATTTCAGTGCTCGCACTTTCCTTTTAAATTGAGAAATACAGCAACAGTGAGTGAGTCCAGTACGGTCTGTTCTTTTTGCTAAAGCAGGTGAGTTGTTGAGACTAAGATGAACAAAAAGGCTGATCTTTGCTTGTCAAAGAGAACAAACGAAGTGGGTAAGAAGAAAAGTAAAAAAAAAAGATACAAAAATCTTCGCGACGCTGCGGTTAGTGAGTAAAGTAACTTGTTGAAGAAGTGCCGCGGCGTCTATGTGCGGTCCAGCTGTACGCTGGCGCCATGTTGTTGAGGATGATGATGATGATGATGCTGATGATGAGGTTTGTAGTTACGGACTTGGATACGGCCGCTGCCTCGACGTAACACTGGGGCCGTGCTATGCTGAGTCAGATTTATTGCACACCTCTAATTAAGATATTTCCTAGAACTTAAAATACACCCAGCTAAACTCTATTTGTATGTAACATCAACATCACATTTTGATTGGACTAGTATGAAAGAAAAAAAAACTTAAAAGTTGAAAGAAATATAGCCTAAAGAAAGCCCTACGCATGTCCACTAAGTCACAGACATTTTTTTCCCCACTATATATGTTTATTTATGATTCTTTTAATATCCGTAAGACCACGCATGTCACTGTGTTATGTGAATGTTAGAATCTCAGCTTTTCTCGTACATACCTTATAGGCTTATATTTACAGCCAGTCTATGTCAACTGTACGCTTCAGTCTCAAGGGGGTCAGGTTCTCTTACATCAGCTTTCTCAATTGTGACCTTGATGAGAGGTGTCAGAGCAAACATATCATATAGCCTATTCTGCTTGAATATTGCTTTGTTGTTCAATCTATTATTTTTGAACTTAAAACAAATCTGCCAGTGAGTAACTTACATAAACATTTATTTATTTATATGTGTTTATATTAGTGGTATTGTTTAATAATTTCTCTATAGGCTTTATCAACATACTGTGCTGCTGGTGAAACACTCGGCCAGTAGGTGGAGGGAGAGATCTGTCTTTGGAAAATGTGAATATCAATTTGGCTGCATATGTCTCGAGATTTGGTCTATCTTATAGCCTAACTCAAAACTGAAAGGGATTTACATGTTTTTTTCAGTGAAACTCAACAGGATATTAAAATTATTCAGTTGAAGACAAAATAGATTTTTTTTTGTTGTTGGAGAACTGCACAGAACACATTATGCAGAGCTAACATATAACTCTCAGAATGACATAAATAACGTTCACCTGACATCATTTATTTCCTCAGTGGAACGCGGTTAAAATTATGTAAAATAAAGTAAAAACAGTCCTTCTTTCATTATTCAAACCACACAAGAGCATATTCCTCTTGAAATGATCTCCAGTATTCAACTTACACTAAACCGTCACTAGATTTCTATATTTGATATATGTTCACCACTTGTTTTGACCATATCAGGAACCCGCCTTCACTGTCTCCCACCAGTCGGACGAACATTCCTATACAGTAACCTGAGTGTTTGAGTACACGACTTGGATTCTGCGGTTGGCATTGACTAATATGGCTCAGGTGCCGTTGGCAGCTCTTAGAACTGGATAGACACCCTGTCGTACAACTGAACCTGTCAGCATGACTTAAGCAATAGACTAACACCATGCTTTAATGTTTGATTTGTTTATGTCTTCAAATTACCGCGTTTGAAAAGGCTCTTCTTTATTGATGGAACAGACATTGAAACCAGATCATAAC